CATTGCACTCCGAATTTAGGTCAATGACGAGAATATTTTCAACCTAATAGGTCTTAGGTTGGAGGCGCTACATCTTTTGACTTGAATTTAAAGTTATGCAAACACTTAAGATTTGAACTAAATTAGTGATAATGTAAAAACTTTAAACCATGATTTATTAATGACCAAATCTAATTATGACACACACGGATCTTCCTCATTCTTTGATAAATACATCAAACCATGGAGGACTATTATGGTCTTGTGCTTCTACCTTTGATTAATGAACATTTACAAAGATTATTCCCATCTTTGTTTGAAGTGTCACCACCTTTGTATATTCATATGGGTGAAATTCTATCAACATTTCTCTTTTGCTATGTCCAAGTAAACAAACACATGTTCTTTTTATCAAATAGTTAGAACTTCATTAAGAACTTAATTTCAACGTCTCACATAGTACTAGTAAACACAACTTGAATTTTATATCCTTATTGTAAGATTGAGTTTCCACTATTAGTGGTTATATTAGTTTCACTCTTTTCCATGATAATCTAATTACTTAATACCCTACATATTTAATAACAAACGAATCTACCATTACGTTGATAGCTCACATGAAGGATATAAGTCTACACTTGACACCACTGTTATTTTATTTTATTTTTTACTGTAGATAGTTGGCAACTCATGTGTGCAACTTTACATTACTTATAGATATTTCAATTCTTCTATCAAATTATCTATTCATATAATTTAACTAAGTAGAATCTTATTTGATTGACGAAAATCACATATATATCTATTTTATTTAAGTCCGAACATAGCTTTCCAAACTAGGTTAATATTTCAAAAACTAGATATACATTACTTTTCACTTACAATAATTTTCCAAAATTAGTTTGAATTGTAACTTTCTAGTATAGCAAGATAGTGTTGCACTATATAAATCTCCTTCTAATTGATAGTACTACATTACCGATATATTTCATATATTTTCAAATCTTTAATATCAAATTGAAATCTATTGTAATATTTTTTTTCATCGCATTAAGAATTCCAATCTTAATATCAACCACTCTTGAACATCATATGAAATATTTGATTTCTTTTCGAGTTTCAATGTCTAAATTTCTAGACATCTTTCTCAATTTAAAAAGTTTGATCAATATAACCCCACTATGCCTTTTCATATTTAATTTCAAGATAGTATCAATTTTAAAAATTTTCATTTCAGCCTTATGTACTTCTTAAATTTTGTCAAACCTTTTATTTTGTTGAACATCTATCAACAATCATTCACATGTAAACATATTATGGTACCATACTTACTCGTAGTATTAATTCTTATTTAAGCATTTTTGTGTATAAAGAAACAAAGTTCTTTACAAAATTTCTTTTATTATTTTAACATTTCACAAAATATTAGAGTTGTTTTCTTATACACCAAAATTCTTAAATCTTGATTTAGTTATGATCGTTACACTTGTCACTAAAATATTTAGCAATCACTTCCATTGCACAAAACCATTAGTCCGTAACGTGATTGTTCGTCTTTATAACAACCTAGAGATGTCTAGACTTATCTTCAAGGTTATTTTCAAACACATGACAAGTTGTCTATGAAATAATTAGCAACCTTGCATTAGGATTAGGATATTTAATTATCATATGCATAAATGCTTTAAACTATCTTTTTTACCAATTATGATTTCAAAGTAGTCAATACCTTTTTTTTTTTTGTCTAAGACATTTAGCTAATAATATTCTTTTAAAGGTTTATCTTAGACCATTTTTATTATATTTTCTTTTAAATACTTCCTTATGACCTTCCCGATTTAAACCAAAGAGACAACTCAACAATCATGTAAATGTGGTTTGAGATTCATCTATTTTCTCTTTCCAAAATATTGCATATGTTAAAGTCGTACCTTCACCATAAATTTTAAGAATATATTTAACAATCAACAACTAGGAATCTTATAAACATGAATTCTTGTTATATTGAACCTTTAAAACATTACTTTAAAGGTTTATCTTGAAATATTCTTATTATATTTTCTTTTAAATCCCTTCTTATAACCTTATTGATTTAAGCTAAAGAGACAACTCAACAATCACATAAATGTAGTTTGACAAGATAAAATTTGCTTCTTCATCTGTTGTCTCTTTCCAAAATGTTGCATATCTTGAAGTCTTAGCTTCACCATACATTTTAAAAATATCTTTAACATGCAACAACATTGGTTTCTTACAAAAATGGATTTATGATTTTCTTCCATAATATATGTTACTACTTGTGATTATTCAAAGTTAGGAACTAATTTTTTTTTAAAAAAAAAATTCTTTCTCTTTCACTTCTTCTAACCTTACTTGGTGAGTTATTAACTTTCTTTTTATTCTTATAAGAATTATATTATATTATCCAACTATAATTTTTTTTTAGAATCATTAAGGTATTTTTACTTATTAAATTCAATATCCCTTCACTCCACAATGACATTGAAATGAACATCTAGTAATTTATATGCTTTTGAATTTTAGCATATCTCACAAAACATTTTTATTAGTTATTGGTCCCAACTTCATACTCTACCCATTGAGAATTTTATAGTAAGCTAAACAACTCGTACCTAAGATACCTTAGGTTAAACTTTCTTCTGCTTTATAATTATATAAAGATTTTTTTGACTTTCTTCGAAAGTATGCCAAACTATAAAAAATGATTCTTCTTAAACATTTATTGGCAACTTGACACTTAAAATCATGACATTAATTATCCTCATCAATGTCCTATTCTTTATTTTTGCCCATCTGTTTTTATTATGGGGTAATCCATACTTATTATATGTAGGATTTTATTTTCTTCATGAAGAAGAAAAATTCCATAGATAAATTTACATCTCTTTATCTTTACACAATGTTTTGATTTTCTTTCTTAGATGATCACAAATCCAAGCTTTAATGTTTAATCTTTCTTCCAATGGTCAAATGTATAAGCATCACAAAACATTCATAAGTATTATAATGCAAGTTGTAATTTCTAAATACACTAACATTTAAGATTTCAAATGCTATAAAAAAAAAATTATACTTTCTATTAAACATTAGAAATCATCATATCATCATATTTCATTTTAAACAAATGTATAAAATCACTAAATTATATCCAAGATCAAAACCTTACGGCATTTCATTCCTAAGTGTCTTGCACTCGCCATAGTACCAATAGTATATATATGATTCCAAGAACTCGTTCATAATGAAAATCAATATTATCAAAAGCTCTTTTCTTTAAACATTCCAAAATTAGAAAACCTTTGCAAATATCATTGCAATGCCTATGCTCCACAATATTTTTTTCTTATCAAACTCCTAAATATGGGCACTGAAACTTGCAAATTATACACATGAATTTGCAATATAGATTCTTTTTTAAAAAAAAAAAAAGAAAAAGAAAAACAACCAAGTTTTACAAATTTCAAATACATCAAATATTTGGTCTCTCACAATCAAACATATAATCCTCTTAAAGTTATATTTTAACAAGAATTTGTTAATTGCATACCTTGTGCTATGTTATTATTTTGAGCTTTTAAAATCATTCCAAAAAACCCCAACAAAAGAATGTTGGATTAACCTCCACACTTCATCTATGCCCTATGGTGTTAAACATTATCTTCTTTTTCATTTCTTAAAAACTCATTGTACCAAAAGATCATAAAATTTACACTTTTTAATCATGCTATACGTTTAACTTTGGATAGAAAATATGCAAACTAAATTTCTTTTAATCATATTAATATACATGATTTTTTCTAGGTAAAATTTCTCAAACATCTAACATATTACGAGAATTTTGATTGAAAAATTATGCATGTTAATATGGTTAACATAAGTTTAATTTATGCATTTTCTATTTAACATTGAAAGAACTTATTAATATGATTAAAAAGTATAAAATTTATATTTTTTTAGTACAATAAGCCTTTCTTAAATACTTTATGTTAAAGTAGTTTTCGGTCATTTGATTTTTTACTTGATAGTAATTTTTTGGGCTTTTTTCTTTATTGCTATATTTTGTGTCCAATACATTTATTAATTCAACGTGCGGATCTTCAAAATACTTAACAATTCCTATATTTTGTTGGAGAGAGCATTCACAATGTAACAACAACATTGGATAATGTACTTTTAATACTTTGTCAAGGTTGCAACCTTGACTTTATCAGAACTTGTTAGAGTAGGTTTAGAAGGTTTTGGTTGCTGAGGATCCATCACGTAGAAAATTGTCAATTCAGTAAGGAGAAACTTGATTTTGTCTTTCCAACACATAAAGGTTTAAACCTATGATCTTTTTTACAATTGCAAGACAAGTAACGCATTACTCTTATCCGGAGAGACATAAAATATGTTTCCGTGATTTGCCCACGCTGCAAGTAATTCAACCAATAATTTGCGCTTTTGTCGTACAAAATTCGTATGAGCACTCAGTATGGGTTTTAAGCCCAATTGTTTAAAATCCAACTCCCAAGTTGAAAAGCAATTCGAGGCCTAAAATAGATGTCCAAGCCCAAGTAAACATTTAACTTTACAAAAATAAGTTAGTGATATTTTGAAAACAGATCGAAATCGAACTCACCTGGGAAACTAACTCAAATCCTGGGTAGCAAGCACTTGAAGAATAAGAGGAAGAAGTAAACAAAACAAGCATTTCAGGTTTCTAGCTAAACTTCTCCAGTCTTGTTTTGTGCCTAACACGTTAGCAATCTTCATTTTCTTTCATCTTATTTGTATAGTAAGTGCATTTGGCTCTGTTTTGTATGGTACTAGTCAAAGCAAAACAGCCTAAGAATCGTTCTTTTCTTGTATATAAAGTGGGTTTTCGTTTTTCTGGGTGATTATTGAACTTGAGAGAGGAAAACAGAAGATGGGTTTGCATTAAATTTGAATTTTTTTTAGCGAAAGCATTCAAGTGTTTTTTTATTTTTTGAGGGAGGGAGAGAGGGGGTTAGGAAGAAATGGATGGTGGCGGAGGGAGGAGGATAACGGTAAGTCCGAGGCCGTGTAATGGAAAAAGAGTGGTGGCGAAGAAACGGGGAAGGGGTTTTGGTGGCGGAGATGGGTTTGTTAACAGTGTCAAGAAGCTTCAAAGAAGGGAAATTTGTTCTAAGCGTGACCGTGCTTTTACTATGACCGATGCCCAAGAACGTTTTAGAAACATCCGGTTACAGGTAAATTTTATCTTTACCCTTTTTTTCTTGTGGAAATTTTAGGTTTTGATTATTGATTTTCCTGTTTCTTGTTCAAGGGATTTTGCTTAATGTGTCTAATGTTTCTGCTGCATCTGTGTATATCATGTTCATGATGAATGTGTTTTATTTTAAGCAATAAATGCCATGGTTGTTAATGGGTTTGATCCATCAAAGTTAGAATGGCCATGGAAGGTTAAATCAGGATACGTATTTATTCTTTGATTTGTTTGTTCTTAAAGTTCTTGGTTTGAGGGAAAATTAAGTGTTTCCTATTCTGTTAAAGCTATAGTTCTCATATTCATATTTATTAGCGTCTTGTGGGTGCTAGCTTCCTTTAATGTGTGCCTTTTGAGCTATATACCGATAACATTATAAGCACCAAGAAGTTGTAGAGCCTGCTAGTGCTGGTCTTCACAGATTGTTGCAGTGAGGGTGTCACAATAGTCTTGCGAATGCTTGATTGGTGTTGACAATAGCTACATGAATGTAGATTGTTAGTGATGCATGTGGTGATATCTGCAGAGTTTAGGTTTTTCAGTTTTGGTAGTTGTTGGTTTGATGAAAGGTAGGTTAAAATTTGCTCTAAGCATCTCCATGGTGGCACTAATCTCTTTGCCTTTCACTTCTTGTCATACATGCTCTAGCAATTGACAATATTGGGAGTTCAAAACTTTTATTTGGTGATAGAATTCATGAAGAGCCAGAAATTTGATAAAGAGTTGAATGTAGGTGGGATTGGAATCTGGAGATATTCAGGAAGGTCGAGGAAACTTCCCTCTTCCATAAACCCCCTACCATCCCAGTGCAATTGAAACTAGAACTTCTAAATTAGAACTTCCCAGTTCAAACGTTTGCAGTCATGCTTGAGGACTTGCAATGAAGTAATTTTGCCTGCCTACTTGGAAATCTACTTGCTTGTGCCATCTTCCCTGTGGAATTTGAAACTGGAATTTCTAAATTAGATTTTTCCAGCTCAAAACTGTGCTGACAATCTTGAGGGCTTGTGATGAAGTAGTTTTGGTTGCCTAGTTAGAGGGTACTTGCTTGTGCCTTCTTCACATTCAGCTATTTCATGGTGAACAAAACATATGAATGAAATAATTTAACCAGTAACAAAACAAATATGCTTCCGCCAAGACAAAGGGAAAAAGGTAAAGTTATTGCTAGACCAACTAGATATGGGATACTCTTTGATCTACTTGTTTGGCTGTTTCTTGGTACAAATCTTACCATTGGGGTTTCACAGAATCACAAGTTTGTTGCTTGGTTTTCAAAGACGAAAGTTCTTCTTTTGCTAGTTAATAGTGACCATGTTAGACTCCTTACATTAAATTGTAGTGTCTGTTATTGCTTTCCTTTAATATTAAGGGCATTCTCAGTCTTGCTAATAAGAAAACATATCTTTAGATGGCATGTTGTTAGCCATACTGCATTTCTATATAAGGATGCTGTATGCAAATCATAGTGAAAGTGCTAGCCTTGATGGGAAATAAACTGACCATTGTAATTTTTGGTGATAAGTAGTGCATTATAATCAGGCTTTACTATTTATCAAATAATTGCTTTCCTATATATGTTTCCTGAACAGTTATTCTTGTATACGCTGCATTCTGAATCATATTGTTGATCTTCCTTCTTTCTGCTGTGAGATGTGATCCTTGATTTTATGAATAGGAGGAATATGATACTCATGATCCAAAAGGTCACTGTACCATGGTACTGCCTTTCTTAAGAAAGAGGTCAAAGATTATTGAGATCGTAGCAGCTCGTGACATAGTGTTTGCTCTTGCACAGTCTGGTGTCTGTGCAGCATTTAGCCGAGGTATTGCTCATCTTTCCACTGCCAGCTCTGATCCTGGATTTTATTTGCATAAACAAGTGGGTTGGAGGGGTTATAATGTATTCCTATTGTTGAATGCAGCGACCAACCAAAGGATATGCTTTTTGAATGTCACTCCTGATGAAGTTATTCGAAGCTTGTTTTATAATAAAAACAATGATTCACTCATCACAGTTTCAGTTTATGCCTCAGACAATTTCAGTTCCTTGAAATGCAGAAGCACAAGGATTGAGTATGTGAATCTTTTTATTCATGCCTCTGCCTCTCACCTGCCTTCCACCCTCACCTCCACCTCAAAAAAAAATATGTATAAAATACCAAGAGGAAATAAGAGCTTCTAGATTTAGTGGTTTCAATTTATTTAGCCATTCACGTTTTTGTTAATAATAACACTTTCTGTTCCAGATACATACGAAGAGGTCAACCAGATGCTGGCTTTGCTCTTTTTGAATCTGAGTCACTGAAATGGCCTGGTTTTGTAGAGTTTGATGATGTAAATGGCAAAGTACTTACATATTCTGCACAGGATAGGTAAGTATGCTGTCATATAATATATTCAATTGAAATTACTATTTATTACCCAAGTAGCTTCTTCTCAATATGACTTTTTATCTTCCCTTCCTTCATCAGTATATACAAGGTGTTTGACCTAAAAAATTACACAATGTTATACTCGATAGCAGACAAAAACGTTCAAGAGATTAAGATCAGGTGTGTTCCTTTACATTCTTGAAGCTTTTGATTTGCTCAGCAGCATGTTCTCAAATGCAAGAGAGACATGTGCATGCAGTTACACTTGAGCTCAAACCCATGCACCATTCCAGAGGGGTTTGGATTGCTGCATGCATGAGCTTACATTTTCGTTGAGATTAATAGATTATACACCTAAATTGTAATTCCAGGACAGCTGCATGCACTTCATGATTCTGAATGTCTCGTGTTCTTTCTTTGAGATTAATCATCAGATTTAATAATGCGTGTGCACTTCTATGTTCTGTGCGTCTTGCTTCACATGAGCTTAGAGTTTCTCAGGTTTGCTTTTGTTTTTTTCTCCACAGTCCAGGGATCATGTTGTTGATTTTAACTAAAAATAGTGGCCGTGTTCCACTTGAGATTCTTTCAATAGAGGATGGCACTGTTCTCAAATCTTTCAGCCATCTCCTTCATCGGAATAAGAAGGTGGATTTCATTGAACAGTTCAACGAGAAGCTTCTTGTCAAGCAAGAAAATGAGAATCTGCAGATTCTTGATGTAAGGATCATTGTTGTTATCTTGCAAAAGTATTTATTCATCCATACACAAAATCTGATTGCTATGCCGTGTAGGTCCGTGACTTTCAGCTAACAGAAGTTAGCAGAACCGAATTTATGACACCATCAGCATTTATATTTCTATATGAAAACCAGCTATTCCTGACATTTAGAAATCGAACGGTGGCTGTTTGGAATTTCCGGGGAGAGCTTGTAACTTCTTTTGAGGATCACCTTTTGTGGCATCCTGATTGCAACACTAATAATATTTACATCACAAGTGATCAGGATCTTATAATTTCTTACTGCAAGGCTGATTCTGACGATCCCTTGTCTGAAGGGAATGGTATGTTGAAAATTTCTATACTATAGAAATTATATTGATCCCGAGTTCTTGAAATAAAGAAAAAATAATGTAGCTCTAACAATGTTTGCACCCATATGCAGCAGGATCCATCAATATCAGCAATATCTTGACTGGGAAATGTCTTGCTAAAATAAAGGCAGGCAACAGCTTCCCCAAGGAGAACGAACGCTGTCAGAATTCAAAGAAGCGCCTGCATGCCTCCACAATAAGAAGCACAGCTGCAGAAGCTTTGGAAGACATTACTGCTCTCTTCTATGATGAAGAGCGCAATGAGATCTATACAGGCAATCGGCATGGTCTAGTCCATGTGTGGTCTAACTGATGTTTTGATCAATCCTTGTTTGCTTAAGGTTCAATCAGATGGTTGAATGAGCATGCTGCCTGGATGTGAGAGTTCCCTGAAACTGTACCATTGACCACCACTGTACCATGTCAAATTTCTTTTTTTTTTTTTTTTTTTTGAAATTTGATGTGCTTGCATCTGTTTCCAACCAGAGCTTCCTACTCTCCTTTGTACTTCATTGTCCTCTCATAGTATTCATTTTCTGCCATGTTGTTTTAGTAGTCTTTGGATCTAATGTTACATTGGTGATTTAGTAGACCTCTGGAGCTGTGAAAACAAGCATCCAAATCCAAGGTGGGTCATTGTTGGAGTAGTGGGAAAGCATGACATTCTTCTTTCTGATCACTACAAACAGGGATGACTTTGTGTCACATGTAGCAGGGGTCTACGTGTACTGTTACCACAGTGCCACGTGGGTGGTGTTGGTTACACGAGAATCAAATGATTTCTTAGGTCCACTCCACAGTCCACTGAGCCAACTTTTTCCCATGCAAAGCAGAGTGGAGGCTGCAGAGTGCAGTGGAGAGGAGAGGAGGATGAAAAATGATGGGAAGGTGGAGCAATGTGTTAATGGCATCACCTCTTTTAGTTTTAGGTTAGGTGGCGTATGAAAGGCAAAACTAGTTATTGCATTTCATATGGGTTGGAAGGAAAGCATAACTATCAAGTAGATTGGATGCTTTACGATTTGCCAACCTCCTCTTATTACCCTCTTCTCTTCTCTTCTGCCATTTGATTATGGTTCTGAACAAACTAGTTAGTCTATATAATTAAAAGAAAATCAGGTCTAATTCCAAGATGATAAGGTTGCTGGCAAAGTTATGGTTTTATTTTTTTATTATTTTTTTAATTCATTAAAAAGTTAACCTATTATTTGCATTCTGTGTTTTTACCATTTTGTTAAAAAAAAAAAAAATTCCTCTATTATCAATTTGGCTTGTAAATTTCTTTTTCAGGTAATTGAAAAATAAAAAAAATATCTTAACTAATTGAGGATTCTATTTCACTGTATGATTTATTATTATCAATTTTTTTTTATTAATATCATAGCCCTTTTTATTAAGTAGTTTTCTTTTCAATTTAAGTAAATTGTACTTAATTGATTGAAATTAAAAAAAAAATACAAATTTTCAATCGATCAAATTGAGTATAGAGGGACTTTTTTTTTTTTTTTTTTTGAAGGAATTAGTGAAAAAACAAAGATGCAAGTAAATGATAGGTTTAGACATTCATTAACAAGTCTTGGATTATATTGTTAATTGACAAGAGAATGCTAATGTGTGCAATTTCAAAACACATGTGGTGATTGTCTGTTTCATGGCTGTGTGTTTCATACACAAATAATAAATTAAAAAACTGTACTGTTTAGATGCTTATTATGACTTTGAAATTTAAAATAATCATACCAAATCTTCAAACAGTAGACTAGTAGAGTGGTGATTCAAAACCAGGAAAAAAAAAAAAAAGTAAAAGAAAAAGGGAAAGGGGAAGCATGAATTCACGGAGTAAGTAATTATAAATTAGTCCCTCTTGTTTCAAAAAATTGCATTAATTAGTCTCTTTTTAAAAAGTAATTATTTAATCCTCATGTTTTACAATTTACTTTTAATTTAATCATTTATGCTCATTTTTAATTTTTTTTAAAAAAGAAAAAAAATATGAAAAGATTGATGAGGAAATAAGAGATTTTATGGAATAAAAATAATATTAAATTAAGCACAGTCAATATTGTTAAAAAATTAAATAATAACTTTTGGAATAAGAGGGACTAATTTATATATTTCTTGAAACTAGATGGACTAATTTATAATTTACTCTGCACTCATGTGAAACATTAATTAAATAATACAGAATTTAAAACACATCAAATCAGGTGATGATTAATTAATAATTATAATGGACAGAGAGAGAGAGAGAGAGAGAGACAAGGACAGGACAATACCGAAACAGAGAGTGGCATCACGCGTCAGCATTACGTGTCAGTAATGCTACTCAACCGCTTCAAATATGATTTCTATGGTTGGCTTGGCTACATTTTTAAGTAATCAACACGCTTTCCCTTTTTTTTTTTTTTCATCATCTAGTTCTAGGTTGTCCTATAAAAAAAAAAAAAAAAAAGGAAGATATGCTATTTTGGTAACGCCTCCAGATTATGTTTCAAAATAAGTAAATATCGCAATACATATATTCTCATAAAGTATTTTAGATATACTGTAAGTTAACTCTAATTTGTAAAAGATTCATAAATCATAGTCCATAATTATCCCGTTTAATATTTTGAAATAAAATAAAATAAAAATAAAAATGGTTTGAGGGAGGGGGCAAAAAAAAAAAACGAAGCCTTTCTTTTTCTTGTTCTTTTCTAGCTTACTTTGTTAGTTACACTAAGGTTTACCTTTTGGCTTGGTTTAAGCTCTTCTTACCTTAGCTGGAGTAATTAGTACTTGTGGTGTAATGTATCTGTAGTTACTGCCATTACCATATCCTCTCTCTCTCTCTCTCTCTTAGACGACAGCAGTAGTAGCTCTTCTAGATTGGAATAAAGAACAAAGAAAAGCCACACATTCACACATGACATAATTCTTGAGTGAGCCTGAGCTCCCCATCTTTCTTAAAGATCTCTTCTTTCGGTTCTTGCCCTTTAACTGAGATTTTGAGCTCATCAATCCCTTTGTCTGGTCATTTCTCTCTTCTTCTTTCAAGGTTAGCTAACTTGTTGCATTTTTTTTTTCATTTTTACTCAAATGGGTCCATTTCTTTTTGGTTGGTATTTCCTTCTCTTCTCCATTTTTTTACCTACCACTACTGCTAATATTTTATGTAATGCACAAGCTCTATCTATATGCATTGTTACAGTAGTGAACTTCTCTTTAGATTTCGTGTGCTTTTTGCCTTGATGCTGATGTTCACTGTCGGTGCTGAGTGGTGGTGACGACTCTTCTTTTCTTTATTCAACTTTTATTCTCTCTCTCTTCTTCTGTTGTTTTGTGTAGAATAGGACATTTTATTGCCTAGATCTGGCTTCATTGCTTAATTTTCTAGTAAAATTTAGTTTATTTGCTCTTAATTATGCTGCCCCAAATCAACTAGAATAGCAAATCTCGTTCTTCCTCTGTTATAATTGCACCTATCATTTGTTTTGGTTGGCTAAATACTTATTTGCTTTTTATCTTTCGGATTATGTCTTGTTCAGTCTCAAGTCTGTGTATTGATGAGTGCTGAATCTGATCAAATGTTTTGAATTGTTCCTGGGGTTGAGAGCATTTTGCGAGTAAGTAGATGATGAAGTTGGAATGGATATAATCCTTTACTGATCGACATGTTGGATTCTATGCCACTTAAAATAAGCAATCTAATTTTATTTCTTGACATACTCTATGCAAGTACTAAACAATTTAGCTTGCTTTTGATTTTTTTTCTTCTTCTTCTTAACTACGCAACATTCTTTTTTGTTTATTTTTGACCGTATTAAAATGCAATTTTGTTTGTCCTGCAGTGAATAATGCTCATTGTATCGTTTTAAAATGGGTGTCTACATCTGGGTTTATGTCAATTGGTCATTTCATTGTCTCTATTCGTTATTGATGTTCGTTGATTTCGTGTTTAATCCAATTGAAAATTTTATTGGGTAACTTTCTTATTTTAGTTCACATTCGCCATCCATGCAATAATTTCCTGAGCTTTAACTATTTTTATCCTTCTTCTTGTTCGTGTGCCTTCTTTCCCTTTTTCTTTGAGCTTGTTGTGTTGTCAGGTCTTGAGTTCTGGTAATCGTGGATAAATATAACTGCCAGTAGATATAGCAGAAGATCCAGAACTCTAGTTTCATTGATATGCATATTGTGAGAACCGTAGCAAACGCTGGTATAGGTTTTTTATTTTTTTTATTTTTTAACTTTTTAAAGTAATGCATATACTTGAAAAGGTAAGTTAAAGCATTGCATGATATGAGATTGGTCTTTTATTTTCTGCAAAGATGAAGTCTTCTTTCCTTTCAGTTTGTTAGGATGGACAGCGGAATAGAAGCTGACGCGCCTTTGGATTATGCTACTATTCAGATCTTTCCAACCAAAAACAGGTTAGTTGTTTTTTCCCTAAACATTATTTAGGCATTTCAACCAAGATGCTTTATGTTGTTGAACAGTTGAATATTTTAAGCAGATTAGTTGGCACTCTGCCTTGTTGGCTCGCATCCTTGATGGTTTTATGCTGATTATTGATAGAAAAATAGCTAGGACTTAATGAAGTTGCAGAACCTTTTCAGAATTACCTTTGATGTGAGTCAATGACATTTTAATAGCCATTCATGGCAATCAGTCAGCATTGTTACTCCAAGAGACTGGAAATATTGCATGATTGCATTTCAATCAATAGAAAATATGCAGTGAGCTGTATGTCTTTAATTTCATTATCTATGTGTGTGTGCAAGCATGCATGCATGTATTTTAGAGGCCACAGGTTTTCATAGGATCCACTTTATAGGCCAAGTTTTCTTCAGCTCAATCGCACAGAATGACTTCCCTGTACAAGTGCATGACTTTGTTTCAAGAGCCACCATTTCATACAAAAAGAAGTCAAAGTATGGGATTCTAATGTTAACTCACTGGGAACTGGAACCTAATTTATATCTAGATCATCCGTCAAAAAAAATCCATATAAGTTAAGCTGTACAAACATTGAGTTATGTCATGCCAATATTCAAGAGGTATACAATGCTTTGCTTAGCACTTTTGTCAATGAATAAATACAATTATGGTTACAAATTACGTAAATCTATTACTGTGCCAATCTGGGATGGATCCAGGTATCATCATCATCATTATTATTATTTGTTGGGGGTGGGGGTTGTTGAACAAAATATTTTATACAAGGAGGTTATTTTTCAGTTTTTTGGATGGAAGATGGTAAAAGCATTTATGGCTCTATTTTTGTTAGTTAGTTAGCTCAGTCCTGCATCTAAAGCTTGGGGCCATTGATTGCATTTATCCTTCAACTTTGATAATATTACTCTCATCTCTAAGTGTACATAGGCAATCCTTTTTAGTTTTTTCTATGTTCTTTTTTTCTGTAAATCTTTAGTTGGTAGTGAACTTCTCTAACATGTCCACTGCTATTTTAGGTACGAGATATTTGTTTGTGGTAATGACGAAGTCGAGAAATTAGCTGTTGGCCTGCTGGAGCAACTCTTGCCCCATTTGCCAGAAGTACATAAATTGTATGCTAAAGGATCTAATGCTATCCTCAAACTCCAACTAACAGGAGAACTCAGCAACGTACCATGGTTCACAAAATCAACTTTGAACAGGTTCTTGTAATTTGGATGTGCATTTTGCTTTCTGTGGATTTTTGGATTAATTGTGGTTGCTTGCTTCTTCTGTTATTAAAATAGTTATAAATTCTTCTCAGATTCCTGAAAATTGCTGGTTCACCTGATTTAGTGAATACCAGCAAGACTATTGAGGGTGAAATTTCTCAATTAGAGGAAGCCAGAAAATTTCATCTTTCTTTATATGCTCAGGTCAGCTCTTGTGCCCTTTCTTATGTGATATTATATCAGCTAGACTGTCTTGCTAACAAAAATCTTCTTTTGTCAGGGGCCTCAGGATTGTTCTCAAAGTGGGAAAACAGGTAACTTGTTTAAAGAAACATGAAAAGTAGACACTTGTTATGTTACTCTGGATTCTGGAAAGTACAGTTTTATCAAATATTCTTCTTACTGGTAATTTTCCATTACCAAAAAGGGAATTCCTTAAACAAAATTATTGTCGTAAAGTTGTTTGATAAGCAGCAAGATATAAGGAAGTAAGAATGTGCTAGATATAGTCATCAACTTGGTGACTTTCAAGTACTCATTGACTCTGGCTGGCCACATCACCTCCATCAAAAACACGAATCATCCAAATTTGTAAACAATATGTGTCTCCATGAACTGAACTTGTTTTCACAGCCGCAGGTGATTGTCCAATTCATGCCATGTTTATTTTTGACATAAGTTAATAATGTTTGCATCATCGGAAGTTCAAGCATATAAGTCGACTTCTGTTGTCATGTTGGTAGTACTTGGCTATTGTGCTCTATGGACATATTAACTTAAAACAATCTGGTGCTTGTATTGAATCTGCTGTGATCTTCTGAGTTTCAGTTTTTTTCAGATATTTATTATATATCTTTCCTTATTTGACAGATGGCTATGACTCAATTGAGACAGAAGCAACATTCAAAGTAATTACTTTTACCTCCATGTCTTTATGAGTTATCTCTTATTTGTACACTGGATTAGGTTAATTATTATTGTGAACATTATAAGCACTAAATAAGTTGTTTGAACCTATCTAGGCTGAAGCAAAAATTGCATTATCTGATACTTCAAAGTAAGTTCTTCTGATTGCTTGTATTTCCAATTAACTTTTATATTGGTTGAATGTCCTCTAAGCTGTAAATAGTTTTATTTCCAGGAATGAATTGCTGCGAGCTATGGACCTGAGGCTAACAGCATTAAAAACGGAATTGGCTACAGTCCTTAACCGTGCTTTTGATGCCATCTGCTCCTGTAAAGAAATCACTTATTTAGTAGAATTTTGTGAATATTTTGGCGCAACTGATCTAAAGTAAGTCACCCACAAAAACAAATTGTGTATAGGTGGTCTAAATTCCTAGTTACTTCAAAAAATTTGTAGATGCAGCCTCACCTTACTTTTAATGTTTACTTTATTTTTTAAACATATAGAAGATTATATTTCTGACCCTAGTGTTCATCTGGTATGTATCAGGAATTCTTTGTGCACAATCTTAGAATTGGGCCAAAAGGGTGAGGCAGCTGCACTCATAAATGATGACAAGCATTCATCAACAGTTGACAATGTAAATAAAGCGGATGAAGATACTCCAATTTCAAGACCTGTATATTCAACACCACCAGTAAAGTATGGTGTTTCACCAGCAAAGGCTGCCCAGGTTGAGCGGCAGAGCTCAACTGACAGTGAGGAGTCTTCAGACTTGAGTGATGAAAATAAAAAATCTGCAGAAAGAAGTCGAGCACTTTCAAGATCTGCAGCACCCAGAAGGTCAGCATCTCCAATGCGGAGGGTTCAAATTGGGAGAACTGGATCACGTAGGGCTGCTGCACTAACAATTAAGAGCCTCAATTTTTATCCTGCTAGAGAAAGGACATCATCTCATAGAGATGTAGGTGAAAATAGCAGTGAGGAGGAAGGATTTGAGCAATCAAGTAAAAAACCTGAGAGTAATGTCCGAAGGATGAGTGTTCAAGATGCAATCAATCTTTTCGAAAGAAAACAAAATGATCAAAGTGTAGATGCCCAAAAAAAGAGCTCCTTGTCGAACATTTCTCTCTGTACAAATAAAGCTGTTTTAAGAAGATGGAGTTCTAGTGTCGCAGAAAATTCCAGTCTCTGCCAACAAGAACTTAGTTCTGAAGATTCTGTTCCTCTGCCTTGCAATGATATTGCAGATAAAGAAATCTCAAAGTATTCAGTTGAAGAAAAATTAGAGCCTGATATTACATCAGGATTTCAAAATCCTGCTGAGTCTGCTGAAGTTGATGAAGAGTTGGAAAGATGCGAAGAAATGGGGCAGCATGTAGTAAATATTGAAACAGACGCTAGTGCAGCACAAGAAAAGGAAAGAAATGGAAGAACACCAGACTCAGTGGAATGGAATCGACAAAAGGAAGCAGAGCTGAATGATATGTTGACGAAAATGATGGAAACCCAGCCTGTGAAAACCCAAAAGCCTAAAACTGTCAGAAACCAAAATATCCTTTCTGAGAAGAGAGGTGGATTTTATGATCACTACAAGGAGAAGAGGGATAGGAAACTTCGAGGAGAGAATGCTGAAAAGAGAGCAGAAAAAGAGGCGCAATTTAGAGCAATGCAGCAAATTCTTGATGCGAGGAAAGCTGAAATAGCTACGGCAAATGTGAAGGACGTTGGTAAGAAGCATCCACCAAACAAACCCCAAAAATCTCTCAAGAATCCATCTCAACCTGCAAATCTCAGAAAAGACAGCCCAAAGTCTTCTGTCACGAAAAAAGTTTCATCTAAAACATCGACCTTGCCTGCCACTCGTAAATCATGGCCATCAACACCTCCAACCAGAGTACCAGTATCATCTCCATCTAAAACTCCCTCAGGGATTACATCTGCTGGTACCACACCAAGAAGTCGGAAACCCCAGCCTACAACTTTACTTCCTCGATCAAATGCTAAAGTTGAAAAATCCCAGCCACAGCATAGAATTGTGAAGGAAACACGAACTGAAGCTAACAGGAGCTTAAAGGGGGTAAAGAGAAGACACAGCAAGCTGTAATGAAAAGTGGAAAAACAACAAAAACAAAAGTTGCAGCTGTTGCTGAAGATTGTTCTGCCATGGCTACATCAAAGCCTAGTTTCTATAATAAGGTTACCAAAAAAAGCAGTGTAGTGCCAGTGGAATCGAAACCCTTCCTCCGCAAGGGATCTAGAAATGGCCCTCCCATTGTGAACAAGACAAAGGATTCTTCCCAGCTGGAGGAGTCTTCTGTAAAATGTGAGAATATGTCAGAAACTCAAGAGAATGAGGTGGTTGTTGATGCTTCTGTCGAGATTGGTAAGCATAAAGATCAGGATAATGTGCCAACTAGTCATTTTGATGCTGCTACGGAGTCAGAAACAGTGGGAAATAGCCATCAGAATTCTGGTGAGGTGGAGAACTTCAACGAGCTTGCAACTGATGGTGATGATGGCTTCAAAGATATGACTCAATCTTCGACAAATTTTCAGTCCCAAGAAGATTTAGTTATCTCCCCCAGTGCGTGGGTGGAAATAGAAGAGCAACAGGACCTGCCTAGCACACATAATGATGGCACAACTCAACTTAGCCCTCCAGTCTGTGTTGAACCTGTAGTATTGCAAAGTCAAGCTGTTCGTCATTCTCTTTCACAGATGCTGCAAGAAGACAATAATAGTGAACCTGATATTGTTGAGTGGGGAAATGCTGAAAATCCTCCTGCAGTGGTCTACCAAAAAGATGCTCCCAAAGGGTTGAAGAGGCTTTTGAAGTTTGCTCGGAAGAGCAAAGGAGATGCAAATATGGCAGGTTGGTCTAGCCCCTCTGTTTTTTCTGAAGGAGAGGATGACGGTGAGGACTCTAAAGCTATCAATAAGAGAAACGCTGACCATATACTGAGAAAGGCAGCCCTTCATTCGAAGGACCATGGGCATGGGCAGCAACAGACCTCTTTCTTTGAAGGACATGACAGAAATGTGAATGCTGACGAACTTCCATTGGGTACTTTTGCTTCCTGGCTTTGACCATTCTTTGTTTTTGTTTTTTATTTTATTTTTTCAATAGAAGCTGGATATTTATAGGTGATCTCCGTTTCTTTCTTCTCCTTGCATGCTTTATTTACTAGAATGGGAAAAAAATAGAAAAAAAAGGAAGAAAATTGCTTACTTTTCAGTTTGGCATACATAACATGTATCAGATATTCTGGATGCAGCTCATTCAAACATAAGCAAATTCAGTGCCCAGAGTTCTCATCAGTTGCATAAAGGCCATGCCTCGACTGCAACCTCTACAGCTAAAGGTCAGTTGTGATTCTTGTTCCCTGTACTGTGTTCTTTATTGGCTTTTCCTTCTCCTTGCATGTACTCTAGAGTAATTTGTAGTATCTTTTTTTGTTTTTTGTTCCCCCTCTCTTCTGTTCTCTTTTTGAGTGGTGAATTCAAGTAGACTTTGACATCCTCTAATATTTTTGTCTCAGCAACAAGGTCATTCTTCTCTCTTTCAGCATTTAGGGGCAGCAAACCAAATGAGACCAAGTTCCATTGATACTGGGATGAATGTAAAATATCAGCCATTTTGCTTCCTCCTAAAATCCACATAGAGGGCTAGACTTGGCTTGAGGGAAAAATTTTCCTTCATCTTCACTCAGTTCCTGAATGGTTCTGCACGCATTTCAGAGCGCTGGACCACCCATGTTTTTCCATATATTACACTGACCAAGGGTATTTCATATAGAGCAGATATCTAGTATCAGTCTGCAGAACATACGGATTCCTGCATTTTAGAAACTATGTGGATGAGTCCATTAACAACTGACCTATTTGTTTGTCTGTATTAATTCACTTCATTATATATTGAATTTGAAATCTTGAGTTTTTGTTTCATTTACATGGGTGCTTTGCAGCTAAAGGAAGCACAACCCTTGAGCACTGATCAAGACCATTTTGCTTATTTTAAGAACCAAGATGAACCAGGATTGTCACAAATCAATTTCTAAAGAATTGCATATACGGTAGTTTATACAACTTAAGAATGTAGAAGAATTTTATACACTCCGCAGCAAGCAGAATTTTATACAATACCCTATAATACATTTATATGTGGATATATTGTTCTAATCAATTCTTAAGAGGTCATGCCAAATAGACTTCAACCATTGACCCAATAGTTTTAAATAACGGTCGTAATGTTATATAAAAGTCGTTATGTAATAGTTTTGGAGTATCTTATTATTGTTATTTTAGTATTACAGTAAGTTGTGATTCGCGATGATAATTGCGATTGTTTTTTCAATAATCTGCTATCCAAAACTATGGATGAACTAGCTTAAGAAGCCAGTAGAATTTTATGCTCTATACAGTCAAACGCACTCAAAATCAAGAAGCACAAGCAGAGTGATCCGGAGAAAATAAATGGAAAAAAAGAAAACGAAAAAGACTTGTAACCGAACTTTATGAATGGCAAACATGAAAGAAAAGCAACCTGCAAGGATATTGGATTGATAAGCATAAAGAAGATCGTTATTTATTTTTATTTTGGTTCAATGGCTCTTTGGTTAACGGCAAATGGCTGTACTTTCCTTGCTATAACAGCTCGGACGCAGTAATCGTTTCCATTTGACTTTATTACCCTTTAAATTGCTTATAGTATTAGTATGTGTATATTACCCATTTTTCTATTCTCAGTACTGCAAGCATGTGGCCTTAAATAATTCAGCGAAGGAAGAATCAAGGGAGAAATGAGCATCCAGGCACTCGCTACAGCTGCTGAGCTTCCCTTGCATTATTCATTAGCAAATAAAAATGGGTTACGTTTTCTATGGCAGCGAAGGAAACATGGTCACATTTGTTACTACAGGAAGCCCATCTTTTGCAATCTCAAGTCTAACATCACTGCTACTGCCACTAATAGCAGTGGTAGTACTGACACTACCAGTTCCACTTCCTCTTCTCGTGGTGGCAAAGTGTTGGAGATTAAAGAGATAAAGGAAAGGTGCAAAAGGTGGTTGTGGAAGGACCAGTACTCCATCAATTACTTTGTTTCTTGTAATTCTGATTCACAGTCAAGCCCTGGCCCTCCTCTTCTTCTTGTTCATGGCTTTGGTGCCTCCATTCCTCACTGGCGAAGGTTAGAAAATATTTTTGAAATATTTTAGCCCCATATTAACTGCATACCCTTATCTTGATATCTACCTTCTTAGCCACTAACATTTCCAGCCACACATGGTCATATCCAGTAATTACGAAGAAGCCGATGATGGTATGAATTATGAAGTAGGACTTTCTTATGTTACATTTTGCAATTTTAGTCAGTAGAAGAAATTCAGGAAAACCCTTTTGCTAAGAATTTTTCTTTTCAGCCCCTTTTACTAACCTTATTGCTGGTTTTAAGTTCTGATACAAATTATTTTTCTGGGGGTTACATTGATTGTTCAAGGTACCCTTCGGTGAAAACCAAAGGAAAAGATTGCTCTTAGTGATCTGGGTGAAAAGTACTGCTAATAAATCTGAAGATTGTTCCAATCATGCTGAATCAGTAATGATGGAACCATATCCCATTGGTTTAGCAAGAATCGCCAATATGAAATTGAACATCATTTAGTAAAAAAAGTATTAGTTTCCCCAGCATTACTCTTGTCTTGATTTGTGCAGACAGATGAGGAACTCATATGTTTGTTCAAGGATTCTTAACAAGAGGAAAAGATAGGGCATTTCTCAAATACCTTTTACATTTTCTTATACAACTGTCTTAAGTAATTGAAATGTTTTCTCTTCACAACATTAAGGTTTTTTGTCAGGAATATTGATACGTTGGCCCAAAATTATACAGTCTATGCTATCGACCTTCTTGGATTTGGTGCTTCGGATAAGCCAGAAGGTTTCACATACACCATGGAAGCATGGGCTCAGGTACTCCATTATTGGTAGTTGGATTGCCCTATAATTTGTAGCGAGCATTGTCTTTACTTTGCAAAAATTTTACCCTTCTAATTATGGATTCATTATGCAGTTAATTTTAGATTTCTTGGATGAAGTTATTCAGAACCCAACTGTGCTGGTAGGGAACTCTGTTGGAAGTCTAGCTTGTGTAATTGCAGCTGCCTCAGGTAGTCGAACGTGTACATTTTGTTACCAGGGAGAGATGATTTCGTTATGAAACAACACTTGCACACACTAAGCCTTATCGAATCTATGGTTCTCCTCATGTCAATTATGCTTTCTGCAATTAGAATCTAGTCAAACTCTGGTTCGAGGGCTTGTACTCTTGAATTGTTCTGGTGGCATGAACAACAAGGCGATTGTTGATGATTGGAGAATCAAGCTATTGTTGCCTTTGCTTTGGTTAATTGATTTTCTGCTGAAGCAAAGGGCAATTGCTTCATCGATCTTTGAGCGTGTCAAAGAGAGGTATGCTAATTTTCTCTAATTATAATCCTGAAATACAAGAGTGACTGCAAAATGTTGAATAAGTTGAATGATGGATGCAGAGATAACCTGAGGAACATTTTATTGTCTGTTTATGGAAATAAGGAATCTGTAGATGAAGAACTAGTAGAGGTAACATAGATTCTTTTGATGGAAATTTTTTTTGGAGATTCACCAAAACATTTTCTCAGAATTTTTGTTTTCTCATGGAAACTTTCAGATTATTAGAAGACCGGCATGTGATGAAGGGGCACTTGATGCTTTTGTTTCAATTGTGACAGGGCCGCCAGGGCCAAACCCAGTGACACTAATGCCAAGAATTTCTATACCTGTTCTAGTTCTTTGGGGCGATCAAGATCCGTTCACGCCTATCGATGGGCCTGTTGGTAAATATTTCTTTTCCCTGCCTTCTCAGCTATCAAATGTAAGACTTCGTTTGCTGGAAGGGGTTGGACACTGTCCCCATGATGACAAACCAGACTTGGTCCATGACAATTTGCTTCCTTGGTTGGCTCATCTGTCTGCTTCATGAGAAACATTGTGCTTTCAAGAATCTAGTTCAAGCTGTTCCCTTTATATAGGAATTTTAGAAGTATATCATCTCTGGCTAATTTGTCTAGGAAATTAGGATATACATATGATATGCTGTCCTCAAAAACTTGTACATTTTTATGTTTTTTCCAATTGCTTTAACATTTGTGGAACAAAATGGAAAAGAAAAAAGGTAGTAATTACAAAGCATTTCGTGTGAAGATCATTTAGAAACTCTACTTTTTATTTATAACATTTCTGCTCTGCTTTTGTGTGGGTCTCCTACTGCATACTCCACGGCCCCATGAATTTGGAGCATATCCCTATTCTTGGTGATTACAAGGAAACAAAATAGTAGTTGTTTCTCACCTTCTAAGGATGCATTATTATATGATAAAAACTAGAGAATATGGTTTCTTTCTTCTGTATCTTCATTAGTATAGGTTTGTCATATATATATATATATATATATATATATATATATATATATATATATATATATATATATATATATATATATATATAAAAGTTTAGAAAGCTATCTAGTTATATAACATCAATGCTATTCTAATTGTTACAGTCGTTACAATACCTTAACATCCACCCTCAAAGTGATACTAGGTAGATAGAAGCATCAATTTGCAAGTCAAAAAATCATTTCTATTTTTTGTCATTGCTTTCATAAATATATCAACTAACTGGTTTTGGGACTTGATATAGGGCAAGCTAATGAGTCCTTTATGGAGAAATTCTCTTATGTAGTGATAGTCAATTTCAATACGTTTGGTACGCTCGTAGAAAACTGGATTGTTTGCAATTTAAATAACACTCGTGTTGTTATTATGAAGTCTGTATAGGCTCTCGTAACTTCACACTAAGCTCGGCAAGTAATCCATGAAGCCAAATAATTTCGAATATGCTACAAACATAGAGCAATACTCGCCTCCATAGATGACTTAGAAACACGATCCTCGCTTCTTACATTTCCATGATACTAGTGAATTACCAAGGAACATGCACTAACCTGTTGTGGAACGACGAGAATCTAGGCATCTTGTCTAATCTGCATCCGTAAAACTAGTAAGTTGAATTGTGGAGGAGGATGGGAAGAAGATACCTCGCCTTATTGTATCCTTTAAGTAACGAATAACTCAATGGAGAGCGACCAAGCGAAGTTGACAAGGATCATATACAAATTGACTAAGAAATTAGGCTTTACCATCATCCTTCTTAGATTTGACATTTACTTCCATGGGAATATGTACAATCTTGTCATCTATTAAGTGGGCTTCATGGATGATGTTAGCGAGTGTACTTAGTAATCCAAGACCTTAAGAAGTGGATGTGACCTTAATTCCCAAGAAATAAGTAAGAGCATCAAGATTCTTCATATGAAAAGAAGAGTGAAGTAGCTCTTTAAAGTCGAAAATACATGCAGTAACACTTCTACTTATAACAATGTCATCATTATAAAGAAGCAAAATAATCGAGTCATTAGGAGTTTCTTGAATAAACATAAAATGATCATGTGAACTTTGTCAAAATCCGGAACTACAAATAAGTGGTCTAAAATTTTTCAAACCATACCCGAAGAGCTTGTTTTAAACCATACAATGATTTTCGAAGACAACAAACAAGACTCAGTCTGTTTTAGTTTATAGCCAGGAGGTGGCTTCATATAGATTGTTCTCTTAAGATTTCCATAGAGAAATGTATTTTTGACATCTAATTGATGTAAATCCCAATGATTGTAGATGGCAATGCTAAGACATGGTTATTTTTGCTACAAGAGAAAATGTTTCATCATAGTCAATTCCATATTCTTGTTTGTACTCTTGAACGACCAATCTAGCTTTGTATCAATCTAATGTACCATCAATCTTGAGTTTGATTGAATAAAACCATTTGCTTCCGATCAATTTTTGGTGCTCGGAAAAAGTTCTTAGGTTGATTATCATTAAGAGCCTACAATTCTTCGACCACATCCTTTTTCCAACGCTCTTGTTTCATTACTTGTTTATAGGATGAGGAAATCGAAACCTCGCTCAAAAGTAGTGAATAAAGCTAATTTATGTCCACAATGTGTAGAAAAGTAACCATACTTCTTTGGTGGAATAGATATTTGATTAGATCGACGAACAAGTTATGCAACTTCGTCGCTTAAATACAGAGTTGTAGTTCAAACATTGTTTCATATTCAATTGTCTAGTTAGGTTTGGGAAATTGATTACGAGGCTTAGAACCACGAGTATCATGTTTTAGAGGAGGTGCAATAGGGTTAGGTGGGGAAATAGGTTGGGAATTAATTGTTGGAACCATATCGGGAGTTGTACTAAGGTCAACAATCGGGAGAGGTGATGGCATGATAGCCTCTATGTGGTCATTACTATGATCATGATGTAAGAAACTAGATTTTGAAAATTAAGGTAGAATACTTATTTCGGATGTTAGAGATATAATAACAAAGAATAATAATATGAATTTTTTAAAAAATATGACATGCCTAAAGATACGAGTTCTTTCTTTTTGAGGATCATAGAAGATAAAACCTTTTTTATTATCTACATACCCAAGAAAGACACACTTAGGTGCTTTGGGAGATAACTTATCACGCTCATGAGGTGAAAGAAGAACAAAAAAAATACAACCAAACACACGAAGATGAGAATAATCCGGAGGGTGGAGATACAAACATCGGAGGGGACTTATTTCATACATTAGAGCATGGTTATCGATTGATGAGATAGACAACGGTTTTGAAAGCTTCAACCCAAAACCTTTTAAGGGTTGAGGACTCACTAAGTAATGCATGAGTTAGATCTAAGATATGTCTATTTTTTTTATTCAACAAGCCCATTTTGTTCGGGAGTGTGGGGACAAAAACATTCATGAATAGTTTCGTTATTAGAAAAGAAGTTTAGGAGGCTAGACTCACCATAATCCCCTCTTGAATCCGATCAAAAAAATTTAATGTGAGTCTTGAATTGATTTTCTACCATTTTCATAAAGGTTACGGCAATATGAGAATCTTTTGACTTAGATCGCATAAAATAGACCTAAGTGTATCATGTAAAATGATCAATAAAGAGCATGAAGTACTTATATCCTCTATGAGACACCTTGAGAGATGGACCCTAAACATGACAATGGATTAGTTCACAAGGCTCTACATAAACAAGTACAACTAGTTGGAAAAGAGAGTTTGTGAGATTTGGACAATGCATAACTCGATGACTTATTTGAATAGTTGAACCAAAGGGTTTGCTAGATGAAAATGTAGATTGTAACATTGATCTCAAACTATTAGGATATGGATGTATGATGGAGATGCCATAAGTCCCATAATATAGATTTATTAGAAGAAAAAACAAAAAAAGCAAACAAACTAGAAAGAGAATTTTCATGATCGAGTTTTGAGCACAAAGAGTCTTCCATGCTTATGCCCCTTCCTTATCATTTTTCCAATGCGTTGATCCTAAATCCAATAACCATCATGAGAAAAATGAAGTGACTAGTCTTGTTCAATTAATTGGCCAACAAAAATAAGATTGGTAGTTAATTTGGGAACATAAAGCACACTAGACATAGGAAATGAATTTTTAGGACATATAACACTCCATTTATCATGAACTTCTAGGTTTTCTCCATTAGCAGTAGTAATAGGGACATGAGAGTGAGTAGGTTGGATAGAATGAAATTGTTGACGTGAGCTAATCATGTGGTTTGAAGCATCAAAATCAATAAACCATTTAGATAATGTTTGTTTTGTACCTCGGATACCTATAGCAATAAGAGCATTTGAAAGAACACTTGAAATAGTAGAGGCAATGGATTCTTAGATCATCTTTTGAATGGATTCAACAATAAGAGCTTTCTCAATTAAGAGCTATTGAGGTAGTATCTCTAGTAAAATAACCTTTAGGCCCTTGTCTTTGACTTTGCAATAGGCTATAATCGAAATTACATGGCCTTTGTTCTTACGGTAGTTGTAGAAATTCCTTTTCTTATAGTGTGAAATGATATAGTCATATTCTTTGCATCCACGACACTAAATTTGGCTATGATCTTTAAACTTTAGCTTTGACTTAGACACTAAATTTGGCTATGATCTTTAAACTTTAGCTTTGACTTATAACTTGAAGAAAAAAAGCTCCATCAAGGATGGTTGTTGAATGATCAAGTGTGGCTTGCGTGCGTGGATGAGTTTCTTCCTTGAAGAAATAGTTTCATCCAACTTTTGGTTAGATTGACAATTAATGATGCTAGAATGAACAAACTCAAATTCCGGTCTTAATTTCATTAGAAAATGCATGACCCCGACCTTTTGCGCTTCTTTAAGATATGTTCGAAAGCATCTTTGTCAATAGAGGCAATAGTAACTAGGTCTTGTTTAGACCACAAAGCCATAAAGCCTCGAATAATTGATCCGAACATCTTTGTCTTCTTGAATATATTGAGAAATAGCATATTTCAATTGAAAATCTCTTGATTTGATTATGAGTATACTTTCTTTAGGTGACTCCACATCTCCGAAGCTTGTTCAAAAACACTTAAACTCAAAGCAATATCTTGACTCATGGAATTGAGAAGCCAAGAGATAACCCGAGCATTTCTTGTCTTTCATTTGATTTTTTCTTAAGCATTAGTTGGTTCAAGTATAGTACCATCGAGAACTCCAAGGGGTTTTTCCCCTTTAATGAACACACGAAATTGGAATTCCCATAAGGGATAGTTCTTTCCATCAAACTTGATAAAGATACGATGCTCTCATGATTAGATCAAAACTAACCAAAACGGACGATTGAGAGATTTTCAATGCCAAAGAATTTGAACTCTAAAAAAGAAAAAGAAAAGAAAGTCTAAATAGAGGGAAAACGAGAGATCAAAACTCAAGAAAGAAAATGGAATGGATCATAATACTAGCTCGATACCATGATAAAAACTAGAGAATATGGTTTCTTTTTCTCGTATCTTCATTAGTTTAGGTTTGTCATATATATA